TTTATTCTCACCCATGTAGGTATTCACACTACCTGTAGGTAGTGTTTTGTAAGTTTGCATCTGGCATACATTATATTAAGACAACACTTCCTATAGTATGTTATAATGTTATGGGACTTCTGATGAAGATCTTCCAAAAAAGAACCACAACTATCAGATTACACAGAGGTCTGGAGATCAAGATGGACAGTCAAGAATGTGTGTGTGCAGTTTACCACTTCTCTGTTAATGTGGATGCACTATATGCTTTGGGCTATAAAATGCGGGAATGCCCATTTTCGGCCAAGCTTGAGCTTCTCTGCAGAGGAGATCAGGGAGTTCATGGCTCTCCTTGTCTTAACAAGAGTTCCAGAACCTGCAGGTGCAAAACAACTCCAAAATATAACAGACCTCCCACTCCCATTCTTCACAGTGGGCATGAACTTTCCTTTGAGCTTTCCTTTCTTACACCAAACATAAAGCTGATGGGCATATTTCTAAAAGTTCCTTTTTAATTTAATCTGAGTTTCAACTGTTGTTCAGATGTTGTCAGGAAAATTCAAGTGACCTCTTTCTCGGCTTTTCTCTTGCAACTGGGCAGAATGCCACATTCTTGCAGGCAAAGTAAAACTGTGATTTTTGACACTTTGAATCCTGAAGACATCAGTTTGTGCTGGAGATCTCCAATAGTTGCCTCCTGAACCAGTTGTCTCACAGTGGCAAGATACATCCATGTCCTTTTCATTGTCCTTTTCATTGCCACTATAGCAATAACCTTACATTTCTTAGTAATGGACCCTACAGTAGAAAGAAAGCAGTGTTGTCAGCTTGTGTGGATTCCTTTCCAGCCATCTCCCAGCCTGCTGAGGTCGATGACCCTGTACCTGCAGGCTCCAGAGAGCTCTCTGTCCTTACTCTGTTGTTAGTCAGTGAGTTATTCTTTATACACAAGGCAAAGAGGAAACCCATGTTAGGTACCTACAGTATGTTAGGATGCTGTTTACAGATTACAGTTCAGCTCAACAATTGTTCCTGCCAAGCTGCTCTCAAAACTCTATCTGCAACTGGACACTGGATTTCCTGATGGGCAAACCTCAGATGTTGAAAATTGGCAACAATATCTCCTCTAAAATATCTCCTCTACAGCGATCCTAAACAGTAGGCTGCTGTCTCAGTCCTAGGCTATACTCCTTGTTCACCTATGACTGTACAGCCACCTACAGCAGCAACCACATCATTAAGTTTGCAGATGACACCACTATTACTGGGCTGATCAACAACAACGATGAGTCCGCATAGAGGAGTGTGGTGGAGCTTCTTACAAGATGGTGCCTTGACAACAATCTGGACCTGAATGTTGTCGAAAAAGAAGTCATTGTGGACTTCAGGAGACCCAGAGGGAGTCACGCCTACATCAGCACCAATGACACAGCAGTTGAAACTATCAGCTGCTTCAGGTTCCTCGGCCTGTAGATCTCCATCAACCTGGCTTGGACTCACAACAATGATTAATCTGAAAAGGGCACAACAATAAAGTGCAGTTTATGTGGTGCTTAAAAGAATGCGGTTTGGGGAAGCAGTTTCTCATGAACTTTTAACACAGCACTATAGAAAGTGTCCTCACTAGTGGCATCACTGTGTGGTACATCAGTACTACCATGGATAACAGAAATGCAATAGAAAGTGTTGTGTCAACGGCACAGAGGATCATAGGATGCGATTTACCATCAATCGGTGAGATCCACACCATCAGCTGTCGCAATAAAGCCCAATCCATCATTCAGGATCCCAACCATCCCAGCCACAAACTGTTCTCCCTCCTTCCCTCTGGCAAGCAGTACTGCACTGAAGAAGAGTTTCTATCCCACTGCAGTGTGCATCCTCAACAGCTAACTGCAGGGCCTCAGACTCAATACACACCTGCACTTTAATACAAAGTCTACCCTTTTTTTCTCTCAGTCTCACTGCTACATATTTATTTATTTTTCTACAATATATTTACTGTTCCTGTTGTCTACACTCTGCAGTGTTGTCTGTTGTACTGTGTGTGTCCCGAGAGATCAGTGCGATTAAGAATTCCAATGTATGTGTACATATGGCAATAAACCACTCCACTACTCTACCTCTGAAGGCCTGTTTCTCTTCCAAAAAATTATATTGCAAATTTGCTTTTGTTGAATTGTATTTACATAAATAGTCAATTAATTATGACCAAATATGACTTTGCTATGTGCAAAGATGTCATAACTCCACTTTAACACTTTTTGAATAGTTTTAAGCAAGACACATTATCCCCATTATTAATCCATAAATGTTTTTGATCCTTTATCTGAGGTAAGAATAAATCTGGATGGCACTGTATGTATTTATCAGCAAAACGCCTTAATAAAGACATTTGCTTGCTTTTTAAATATCTTGCTGGCTTGTGCTTGATTTTCTAGGAGTGTATCAGAGATTTCTCCTTAAGTCAATCTGAAACAGTCCCCAAATTGTTTATATCATTCTGCACCACTATGCAGCAAACTGACAGGTCTTTATATAAAGCAGGCTCTGGGGAGAGGGGACTAAATTAGCCACTTGAAGCATTCGTTCTTCCAATACTGTAACTCCCCACTGTATCCACAGAGGGTTTCAGTCCCCAGTGCTGTCACTCTATCGTATTTAACCACCACTTAATTTAGTGCAGCGTTATCAGCACTGTCGTTTGCATGGGATTGACAATGCGATTGACCAAAAACTACCCGTGCTGCTTTGACATACAGCAAGGTTGTCTTCATTTAAAAAAAACTATACCTGCATTGTTTTTGCAGTAATAATAGCAAATTGTATGCTTGCTTTCAGGAGAGCCAATGGTGAATGATTCTGTAAGGTGAGTGTGAAATTTGAATTATGTTGCATACATCAGCATTTTCTTACACATTTTAACATGTAAGAACATGTAACACGTAAGTGTAAGAAGCTTACTGCAACTGTTCAATACCATGGGTTAAATAAAGACCTCTTATGAATCATTACTGATTTAGTCTTCTGCATTCGTTCATCCACATTTTATCAGCAACTAAATAGTACAGAACATTTTTCATTTGTCTGTAAGGAGAGACTGTCAACGGGATGTCAGCCCGTGACACTCAGCATCTGTTCATCTGTGCAGCAGAATCGGTGCATCCTGTTGAAGGCAATGGAACATTTCTTTTCTCTCTCCCAGGTTCGACAGTATGCAGTGGACCTATTTTAACGTACATAAAATCCATTCAGATGTGACTGCTCTGACTGCTAAGGTGTCAAATACACAGCAAAAGTGCAATTTGTTGGTTAGTAAATAACTCAATCTCTGAGACACTGCTTACTCCCAAAGAGAATGTTGCTGGGCTGCATTTGAACCAGGCTGCAAATGAAGGTCAAACCCACTACCACACAATATTAGACCCTGAAACAAAGGATCTGTTTCTGAGGACCAAGGGAAGTGACCCAGGCTCAGCATACAGTATATGACAAGCATGACAAGCCTGCGGCCCACAATTATGACACACACACATCTACATCTCTCACAGAAAGTGTAATAGTAATTAGAAGAATTAGACTTGAAAACCAAACTTTAGCAAAAATGGAATAAACAAACCCTGTTTAATTGATGTCCACATCAATTACCTTCCCTTAAGGTAAAAATAAAAATGTCTACAATTTTTAGAAAACCACGGGCTATCTTGCATATACAGAAAGACAGAAATAGGGCACATTGTAAAGGACCAATGGGAAAGGTTACTAAAAACACTTTATTAACAATGAAATTCATTAACAAAATAAAGAAAAGCATTGTTCTGTCAAAGTGAGCACAAATAACAAATAATAGGGATTGAGGCTGATAGTAGCCTCTGTGCTTGGAGCAGCTGTCATATTAAATAATAATGAGGGGTCTATTAATATGCAAAGGAACCAGCAGCAGACTGGCTTAATGCTGTCATGCCTCTGCATATTGTCAGATTGTTCATTATTAATTAACATGCTTGCTGCCCCATACCTGTGCAATGTCAGAACATTCTTATAACAAATACTGAATGTATGTGCCCTCTCCTAATAATAGTGTAATTAAATTAAAATCAGATTAACTACACATCAGTACACAAAGACTGACTTTACAACTCAGGCGATAAAGAATTACCAGCCCTTATCTGAAATGTTACTTTTTTTAACTGTGGGCAGCCCTGACTCTTGCTTTACTTATCTAACAACGTACCTGAGAATAGCACCTATCCTCTTACATCCCAATGAGCTGAGAAGCTCTATTTTATGCATGGGCTGGTAATAATGACAAAGTCAGGGTGGAGTGCCGGGGACTTTTAAGTGGGCTGATCTATTCTTATATCATGTTAAATTTAATATCAATTACAGCCACTTGTTTTCAAGTACGTATCCAACGGCAAGAGGTAGTGCCTGGCGGACCCAGAATCTGACTGGCACTTTTGCTAAATATTAAATCTGCACACAAGCAGTTTTCACCTGAACTCGTACTGTAACTGAGTAAAAATCAAAAGAATATTTAATTAAACTATACCCTCAGGTCATGCCTTGACATTTGCCACAGTGAATGACCATGCACACTTTTCAATAATGGTTAAAGTAAAAGTAAATTAACAGAAGGTTTGATTTAAAAAGAAGTCAGAATAAATGTAGCCTAATTCTTAAGAGATTTCAAGGCATTTTAAAATCTATCATTTGAAGCAAGACAAGAACATCTCAAAATAATAAAGTAGTTCAAAAATAAAGATTGGATGGATTAGAGTATGTGTAGAAATAATTGCCAAATTTCAGGAATTCTACATTTAATGGGAATCAACTGTTAGGGACTGTGGAAAAATAATAATATCTTACACTTACATACTGTAGCTCCTTCATTCTGAAGGATCTCACAGCCCTTTGCACATAAAGAAGGGGGCCCACTTCACCCCCACTGAAGTGATCACCTACTGTACATGGGCACTGGAGCTGTCACTACACTCTGGCAGATTCGTAGCACTGAATACCAGGTAGAGAAGAGAAAGTCCAGCGTGGGACTGAGCCAGGACACAGGGGAAATACTTCTATTCTTGGGAACAATGCCACAGGATCTGCAATGACCAAGCCACAAGGACCACTGTTTAACACCTCATCTAAGGACAACACTCCCTACAACACACAATCTCTGGTCATAGTCCTGGAGCACTAGACTGGAAAATCCAGTTCAAAGTGAAGAGCGCTACCTACTGGTCCGCCAACACCAGTGACAACAGCAGCCTGACTTTTCACAGTATGATGTTAACAAGGCCAACAATATTAATGAGGCCTAGCCTTGCTCAGATGTTTTGAAATAGTATTTTCAAACTACAACGAAACAGTTAAATATGTTTAAAGTATTAAATATAAAAAACAAAACTTATTACTGATTATTTTGAACCTACCAAACTGTGGTTTAGACAGCATAACACAATGTCTTAATGAATGCAACTATATAAACTTACAGCGTTTACACAAAATTTTATTTTAAATATTAAAATACTTTCTCCTGGTAACAGTATGAAAGTGTTTTGAAATGGGATCAGGGATATACAATGAGCTTGCTAATACACCATTAAGCCATCTTCTGTCTATTCACTACTTTTAACACAGTTACAGGCTCATTCAATTCAGAAACGCATCTTTCTTCTTACTTATCAGCTTTCTCCTGAATTTTATCAAACTTAGCTGACTAAAAAGAAGCTTAAAGAAAGAAGAATGGACAAAAGTTAAACCTGAAAACAAAACATTTTTTAAATATTTGAAAACCATGACAAAATGTTGTAAAAAAGAGTTGCCTAAACTGACTTCTTGTCCTTTTTTTCTTGTGTATTTTATATACATTCATATTTTTTAGCCAAGAAGCATGGAGAAGTAATTGAATATTAATATAAAGTAATTTATAAAAAATATGTTTTACTTTTCTATCAATGGTCACCTAGATCATATTTAGAATTAACACAGATATAATGTAAACTATATTTTGAGTCACAATTTATGAATTAATCCTTTAATGTTTGTGTTGTTGTGCTGTACAATATTATTACTAAACTTGCTTATTAAATAATGTTAGTATTTTCACATGTATAGCAGTAAATCCATGGATACTGTACTCTGAAACACATTAAAGATATCTACTTAACATGTTATTCGTTGTCTATGAATCTCAAAAAACTGCAATTAGAGAGCTTTTGTTTTCTGCCACCAAAAAATCTTTGAAATGCGATCCAAAAAAGATTAACAAAACCAAATACAGTGCACAGAGCTGTTAAGAATTGGACTGGTATTTGATCTGCTAATGTTTCGGCACATTGATCAATTTACCTTTCATTTCCTAATTTAAATGAACATTTCAGGGCTTGAAAGTCTGGTTGTCACATTATGATATTAGATTACAGGACAACTAAATATCTCCTTTCTGCTGTTGAAACAGAACAAAGTATTAAGTGCTGCAACTCATACTGATAAAATCGCTTCTATTCTTACCCTGCCTTCAGTTAAGCAAAGTATAGTTTAGCGGCTGTAATTGCTCTACACCTCATGTTATGCATTCATGAATCAGATGACTATGCAATACAATAGCACAAACTGTACACTTCCTTTCCCATCAAACCAGAGGTACACAAAACCCCATCTAATGAACAAGATTTACAAATCCACTGTAAAGATCTGACAATTAAGAAAATGTCTAATAAGTACAGTGTGTCCTTCCTGCAGAGTGCTTCAAACCTTAGCCTCTCAAAGTAAGCTGCGGTATCAGCTCGCAATTAAAAATTAAACAGTTTAGATCTTCTGCCGTTAAATCGAAAAAGACAAGAGGTGTTTTAGCAGGAGGAGTTGTCATTAAGGGCAATCAGACAGAAAGGCTGTTTCCCTTGCTCTAAACAAGTAAAAAAATGTTGAGACTCTTGACAAGAAGAGATTCCTTTCAAAGTATTTTGCCCCGTAATGGGTTCTCTTTCAAATTTCAGCTCCAGTACTATTTATTCCAAAATTAGGACCACATCATTGCTAAAATGCCAGACTGAACTAATGAAGAGGATATGACAAAACGACATGGTATCACTACAAGAACGCAATATACTGTAATAAAAAAAAAACATTCTAAATTTCATTTTACACGCATGCTATCTAGACCTCACACAGTAATTTCATTTGTATAAATCTTATTAACTATCCAAAGATTATCCAAGTAAGTGAATGTATGGTTCTGTTCGTAAAGGTATACTGTACATGTCTTGTTTCTCGTGTATGGGAAAGTCAGTGAGCAAGGTCCTTACACAGAAGTGCATTTATGAATACTAAATATATGTGATGATAATAATAAATATAGAAAATAAATGTAAGATTGTCCTGTATAACCCTGGGTCTAAATTGCTATAGTATCCTTTTTCTTCACCTTATGTAGATATTGAATATAGCACTAGGTTAGATTTTTAATGTATTAAGTCTGGGTTCTATCCAGTGAATTTTAAAATAAAGCCATCAGTAATGGATATCATGCTTATGAGCTAGCTAAAGCATAAATCTTCCAAACGATACTGGTAGTGTAGGACAGAAATAGCAGTATATATTGGTGAAATGTGAAAAAGGCCTAGACTAAGTCAAAGGGTCTCACTTCATGAATATTTGCTGTTTTATCTTGAGAGTTTCCTGGAGTAGGGTATTTTACTGGGTATTTTACTGGAGTAGCACAGGTGTTTTAGAATTAGCAGTCCAGATCCCTAACCACAGCTCCCCACCTCTGCCAGCAATGGAAACATTTAATAGCTAATTGATTAATAATAGAGTAACATTACTGAATCTATTAACAGATTAAAATTTCTGAAAATATTGTATAAATTACATTTGTCCACAGATCCAACAGACTGGTGCACAGTGAATCAAAGAAATCAAAATACGGACACAGCAGCACCTGTGACCCTAAAACAAACTATAAGTCGAAGTGGCAAAGTGTTGCTAATGTGAAGGATCAATATGTGATAACCATGAATGCTACACACTTATTATGAAAATTTATAATAACGCTTAAAACTAACTGGGAATTTTTACCTTTCTCATGCAACAGAACAACTTTAATAATGCTTATCTTACTGAACAGGAAACATACAATAAGCAAAGCAGTAATACTGGGGGCTTGAGACAGAAATAGCAAAATACAGTATTGGGAGGGGTTTTAACTAAAAAGGACTAATTTTGGATTGGTGACACCCTTAAACGTCCTTAAGATATTTTATTTTTATAAACTAAATTTTAATTGTTACTCATAACAGCTAAGGACTCCAAACAAAACCGTGGAATAAAAATGAACACAGATTCAATAGGAAAACAGCATCTTGGTAGTTGTACAAGAGTAAAAACTGTTAAAACTTTGTAATGACAAATATTTATATATCTGTTTTTGGCTTGTTAGATTTTTATAATATTTTAAAATTAAATTCAGGCTAGCTAGTAATGAAAGCATAGTTGGCTTACTGTCCTCCACAACTATAATAGTAAAAAAAGATTAGACACCTGACCACAAGGTTTTCAACGTAGTTCAGATAAAAGTATAACTTCAGAAAACGCAGCTTCACTCAAAGAAGCCGAGTTTGTAACAACAGGACATTCCTATAAAGGAATGATGCAAACAACTTATTTTAAGAATAGGAAAAGTCTGGCCAGCTTGATCACTCTCTCATTCACAAATCCAAACCAGAGCTTAATCAGAGATGGGAGAACCAGATTAGCCTGACTTAGATCTGTTTTAACTAAGACAATTAAATCCTAATTCATGTTTTTTTTTAAATAAGAAATGTGCTGAAAACACAAACCATAAGGAATAAGGACTTTTTGCATCACTATAATAACCTCGTGGCTTAACAATAATTGTACCATGTGAAAAAACAACTCCTCCATCTCCAGCCTGATTATTTTAACAAGATTTGCACCGTTGCATTTCTTACTCATTCTTTGAATGTTTATTCTAATGGAAGGTTTCTATCGCAGGGGTCATAGACTGGACACAAACAAAATCAAGATGCCAGAAGGTGTGGGAGTGACCCTAATTTTTAGGAAAAAAAATGACTGGTTGGTATGAGGGTAGAGGCGAACCTTATCCAAGCTAATACTGAAAGTTGTGGCTCGAATGTTAGCCCAAGCTTTTCACAGCTCCTCTGCTTTAAAGGAGATGTCATCTATGTGCAGTGTCAGCTGAGAACAAATAATACGATTTAGAGCAGCAATCTCAGCGTAATGCATTAGGCATTGCAAAACCCCTGGAGCCAAGCCCTGAGGAGAAGGTATTTCACAAAGGATATGTTGGATGATGTTTGTTTTGTTAAATGGGAACCAAAGCAGATTAAAATCTCTTTGCCTAACCTGGCCTTCACTCATTTAAAGGGTAAAAAATAATACAAAGGCTGCTGTAATTGTCTATCTCAAGATAGCATGCAGATCTGTCACTATGAGGCTGATATGTGCTCTGGCTAGGATATGGAAGTCCTTTTCGAGGAACCTACTGAAGTAGACAGCTTTCTGTGGCTCTCACAAAGCTTGCTGAGGGGAATTAAAATAAACAAAACAAAATAAAATTAATCTTACAGTGAGTGAAGTTTTGATACATAAGTTATGGCAGCTCCCTTTGCCCCAAGCAAAGAATGAGTTTTGCCATTTGATAATTTGCTTGATTCAGTGCACTGCTTCATGCAGGGCATTTTCTGCCTGATTTATGTTTAATCGAGTCACCTGCTCAATGTTAAGGAGGGTCGCAGGCAGACAGACGGGATATAACTGCGTTAGTACCAGGGCTTTCAACATTCCCAAATCTGACATCAAACAGAGAATGAGTTGCTCTGGACAGCATTTCAAAGCACTTTTTCCAGCTCTAAAAAAACTAATAAACGAAAAAGCACAGCCTCTATTCTGATTGCATTATCAAATCAAACACAGTACTTTAATAACATTTATACAGGGTTTTTTTCCCTACCATTAATGTGCTTTCAATTTAAAGAATACACTCTTTATGAGAATTGTTAATCAAATACATTATTCAGATTTGATGTATTAGGATTGATATCAGTAATACAGTATCTCTACAGTATACTAAAAACATAAAATGTATTACAATGATAATCATGTTGACGAAAAATAGCAGTAATGAGTATAGTATACCACTAATATTAATTGTAAGTAGGGTGCTGACGACAAGATACAAAAATCAGCATCACTTCCATTCTTCTTGAGAAAAAAATGATTATATTAAAATTTGCTTCTTTTTTTATCATACTGTAATTTTTCAAAACCCAACAATACTAAACAAAATAGATGGAATAGAGAAGAACTGATATAAAGTTTCTAAAGACGTCACGTCTATGGGTGTTGTTTACAGAACATTATGGCAGGTTCTTTTTTAAAGTTGATTTTCAAAACCTCCTTTTCTACTTGAAGAACACCAAGCTCTCTAATAAAAAACAACTTTAGGACCAGGTTTTAAAAAAGAAAATGCTTTATTTTCAACTGTGACATACTGAATATGATACACAGCTACAAAATAACACCTCAGTGCGGACAATGTGAGGATAATGACACTATGAAGCTGAGAATTTTTCTAAAACATGGGAAACTTTCATAAACATAAACTTCACATGAGATTTACCGTTCACAATTTAAAATCAGACCAAGCTCTTCAGGATGAGGCACTGCTTTTTGTTTTCTGTGTGCCTTGACAAAATGTCAAGATCACAGCATAAAAGAAGAAGCCTTTTTGTAGGTCTGATGAGGACGATATCAAAGAGGGTTTTGCTTTATTTTCAGCTAAACAAAACCCTGCTCTCCAATCCTAGCTGTCCCCCATGGCCTTTAAGTTTCTATTTCCAAAAAGACATTGAGAGTGTGACCTCTTCCAAGACATGAAAGTGGGGCAAGTATTTCCAGCTCCCTTATTTAAAAGCACAAAGCTGTCATCTGTGGTTTTCCTTTGTTAAATCTTGCATATTCTGTAACTGCGTTTGAATTTCAAATTCAGCTCTCTGTACATTTTTTCCAAACTCTGGTCTTTTTTGTGGACTGAAAATAGCAAAAGAGTAAAATGCCAATATGGGTTAACAGAAACTTCAGATATAAAATCTCTGAAGTGACATTATCAGAAAATGATTAAAGATCATGAAGGAAAAAAAAGAAGTTTTACGAGCTTTAAACTAAAACAAAATAAAAAATTAAAATTAAAAAATCATTTCTTTAAATAACTTAGTGTAAACCTCTTTCCCAGAGTAATGTTCTTGGCATGCTCCTTTAGTTTCTTAGTATCATGAGGGAGAAACATCCCCATTTCTCTGGTTTCATAGACAGGCTCATGAGATACATTTAAGGTCAAACGCTGCACCAGATTCATTCACCCAGAGGACAGAAACTCTTTTTAGTGAACACAAAAACTCCTCCTAGCAATATGGGTATTTGGCATGCAAAGGTAGTAATACAAATACCTTGTTAGAATCCATTCCGATTCCACCAGCAGCATTTACAGCCCTGCTATACAGGCTACAATAGGCCTTGCATTTGCAGATTTCTACCTGTGTTAGTCTCAAATAACAGACGATATACCAGCCTATTTGGTGGTTTTAGCAATAATTCCTATTGAAATAGCATCCCTAGACTGTGGTAATTTAACCTCTTCAGGCATAACAATAAATCAAGTTCCCCCTCTCCTACATAAAAAAGGCAAAAGGTGTTTTTTAATTACAGTACGGAGACTTCAAAATATTGTGAACAAGGTATCAGATATATCCAACAGGAAAATTAAGTTTAATATATTTTTAGAAAAAAAGCAATCAAACCTGGTTTAAAATTTAATTAAATCTCAAAATTATTTAATGACAGACTTTTTATCTCTATTTGTGCACTTTTAAAATCTTAATGTACTTCCACACACCATATTACACATTACACATTACACAGCTACTCTTTGAAATGCAGAAAGCCACATTAGAGATAAATGATGCTGCATAGTCTTCCTCACTATGGCTCTGAAGAAAAGAGCAATAATATTTACTGCTCAAGCATGTCATTTTAATGTGTAAGGCTGAGTTGGTTCATTAAACTCTTATCCCTGTGTATTCTGATAGAGAGATAGATTAGATATATCGATGTCCATAAACATACCTTAGAGGGAAAAAAAATATTAGCCACTCTGACATCAAGATGGAGAAATCCTTGTCATAAATAAAAGGTTTTTTTTTTTCATTAAGCAAATGGCTCATCGCTGGTTAAAGACCAAGAGTGGAAAAGCACTGCCTTTCCAAAGGGAACAGTTAAACATTATTTCCTCAGCACTTTAAAGTTATTTAAAATAAAATGTTTGCATTTAAATATAATATAACACTATTATTAATTTTACATAACTATTATTTTATGAAGCCTAGAGGCATTATTAAAATATGTTGTATAAATCAGGAGGCTTACTTGGCATGAGCCCTTATTATTCAAAGACAATTAAAACTACAAGCAGTTGTTTCTGCAGGTTTGAGACAAGCTTTGCTGGTACGGACTACAGCACACCACCGAAATCATTACCACTGAGCCAGCAAGAAGTACAAAGCAAGAGCATAAGGGAAAGCAGCTCTTTCTCTTATACCATTAGCTGAAATAAAACATGCTGAAGGCTAACTTGAAATTCAAATGGTTATTGTTGATTCTTGTGGCAATGAGCTTATTTTAACATCAGCAGTGCCTATACACATTCAGAAATGAAGTGGATTTAATTCAGGATAATTATTATTGCACACTCAAGGCGTAATCTAACTCCTAATGAAATAATCTGGAAAACGGAGAGACAGCACTGATCAACATATAAAGTAATTGGGAATCTTATTTTATTCATGTATAAATGAAATATATAAGAACTTGTTATTCCAGACATTTCAGACAGTGGTTGGATTTCTGTGACATTGTCAGGTTTGTTGATTTTTCTGTGTGTAGGTACAGATTCTAAAATAAAATATCCTTTTTATAATTTGCTCATGAAGCCAAAGAAACATTGAATGTATAAGGAAAACCAGTTCCAAGGAAGGGGCAGAATAAGCCTATGAGGCATGTTAAAACATTATTGTGTTTTTCACTTGGCTCCCGAGAGAGTGTAGTGTTTTTAGACTCTGCTGTCATCTCTGTTAGTTTATCTTTCAGTCGTTGTATTCGGGTAGCCTTCTGTAATAACAGACAGAGAATGGTCTGCTCCAGATTCTCATTTCATAATATTCAAAACTGAGGGATATGCTACAAAATTCTGCAAAACCCAACTATGTTATACAGAATGATTGGAATAAGCTTCTAGTGGACTGAAAGGGGCTCTGTTAACATCAAATTTATTCTCATTCAGATATGTCAAAGTCAGAAGCTTAGGGCAAAGCCTAGCATCCACTTTAGCAAAAAGTTGTGTAATCTCTGTCTCTTGTCGTGTTTCTTTGGCAAATGCAGCATGGCCCTTCTTTGTACTTCAAGGCGATTTCCAAACAAAGCGCATAGGAAACTCAACTACTTTTTGCAATCTGTTAAACAAAGATTATGCAATGATTACCTAAATGCTGTCATGTTCAAAACAGCACAACATACCATACTGTGCACATTTTTTATCCCTTTAGGAAAACTGTTTTGCTACTGGAAAAAAAATAGGTTTCTCTTATTTCATTTATTGCTAACTTTATAACTGAAGTGTTGCAGGCCTCAGTTTTCTTAATGGAAATCTTTAAAAATCTCAGTGCTAGGCTGTTCCTGCAGGTATTAAAAGATCTCTTGCTCACACACAGTCCTACAAAAATCCCACAATCAGAAAGGTTTCGCTACAGTGGGTTTCATTCTGAAGTGGCACTTTGATCCTCTACTGTTTAAATTTTTGTAATAGGCTTAGTTAATAAGAAAATGCATTGAAATTAAGATAAAAACTGTTATGTATGTATGTAGGAAATTGTATAGATTTCCAACACCATAATACCAGTAATAAAAAGGATATGCATGGGTGCAATGATAACTAGACCTACGTCCCAATGACTGATGGAAGTTCTGCTTTTAGTTTTCTGTCCATCAGGCTTGTTCACTGCAGAACGTTCAGAGCTGTTCAGTGTTCACAGCCAATCCACTAAGACACAAGAATAGATTTATTTCTGTGTAACACAAGTCCGATTTAACTCAAAGTAGCATTGTCTAGCCTCCTCTCAAGGCAACATGTGTTTTTAAGGAGACTAATCTGTTTTTGCGGAATGATTATTTCTGCACATCTTCACGACTACTCCACTACTAGTTATTCGGGATGTCAGATTGCCATTTGCAATCCCCCGGCTGCACTGGCGAGCGGAGTGTCCTGGGAGGCAGGCGGGGGAGCAGGGAGACAGGTCCTGAGGAGAGGAGTGTGTTTACCTGTAGGAGGAATGATTCCCGGCGACATGAGGCCTGGGACAGTGTGTGGCATGATGTGTGGGTTCTCCGGAGACGTGACACTCTGAGTTCTCTTCGGTGGCCTCCCGGGTCTCGAGCTAAAATTAAAATGAAAAAAGGAAGAAGAAAGAAGTTGTTTTTTTTTACATGTGGACTGCTGTCTTTAACGCAGTGTTACTGAAAGAGCCAGCATGTTCTGTAAATAAATTTATTTCAAGGACAGTTGCTTTTGCAGTTAGATGTAACAGACTTCCATTACTAATTAGATTACATGCTGAATTCATTTCCTTCATTGAAGATCAACCGCTTTTGATGCATAATTCATAGCCAGCACCTCGTTACCTGCTCCCTGGTATTAATATCCAGACACTATTTGAATTGCCTCGTTTGCATATGCTAAAATTCAGCATGCAGCTTTCAGCTTGAAAATTACATGTTAACTTGTAATAATTATTGCAGTCAGGCCGCTATTGATTTATGAGACTTTTAAAAACCAAATATGTGTAGTTCTTGTAATGAATGATATTTTAAGGTTCTTCAGGAAATTAAAAGGCAATGGCCGCCTAAGGAAATGTTCTGCTTGTTTGATTTAATACTACAGTTAGCTGGAAGGTGGTATGAAAGAGTGATTCAGACCTGTAGTACATTTCTGATGATATGTTTTATTACTTCTCACCACTGGCCCAGTATCTAGATGATAAATGACAATACATGCCTAATCTGGTGGAAAGGGTCTCTATAGTGTCTTCATTTTCATTCTTTTTTTAAGATTATGAACTTAAATACATTTATGCTTGTGTGAGTTTTAAATGGTATGAAGATTTAACTCTTTAGAATCAGAAGGGCAGAAGAAAGTAAAGACATATTTCAGTGACAATAGCAAGTGCCGCATAGACTTCAAAACTGTGAAAAGTAATGTCCCGTATGTTGTGCTTGGAAACCATTTCAAGCAAAATGTATTACATTTTATTTTAAATTTAGCTTTTCTTATTAAACAATATACAAGGCACGCAGCTTTGATAAAACAGAGAAATTGCAAGCAGTGATAAAATATTAGAAAAGTTAATAAACAAAGAAACCGTGTCCTCAGTGATAAATCTTCTGCATGTGCTCTTCTAACATTATAATTAATAACACTGACACTTGATTCCTGTATTACTTTGCTGCTATTATAGTTTTGTTTTGTGTATAGTTAGAGAAAACAAATAATGACCACATACTTTCACAATTAAAGAAAAAGAGGGCTGAAAGATTTGCATTAATTCACACAAAATACTCAACCACACCATAGCACTTGCAAGATTGTCAAATCTACTCCTTTAACCTAAAAAATAAGCTTAGAAAATTAAATGTATTCTGCATTTCAGCACATTCCTTTAGGTCTGTAGCATGCTAACTAACAAAGACAATTAAATGCACATACCATAACTATATTATTAATATATGAAGTAAATGCATGAATGAAAACAGCATCCTGCATTCCAATAGTACGTTTTCTTTTTCTGCATCCTTTCATGTAGTAAAGTGGAACCCTACTGCTGAGATATTTATAGTCTCTCCTTATGGTTCAGCACTTAAGTAAACAGAAAAGCACATAGTAAACGGTGTTTGCCTCTGGGAAGTACTATAGATTAATATAAGTCTCTGTTAAATGGATTTCTTTTTTATTTAACTTCCCACTATTTCAGTAAATGTGTGCTCACACTTAAAGGCAGAACATTGCTGGCGCTAAATGTAACCGTGATATCACAAAGTTGTAAGGGATAGGAGGTAACATGTATTTAGAAAAAATGTTTTTTGCAGAGAAAAACAATCTAAAATGTCTATGACAATGAGTCACAAGATGATCTGTTGCATAACGTGCTTTTAAAATGCTTATTGACTTTACAAATCAGGGAGAGCTTACTCAGAATGCAGTGAGACTGGAACCTAGTAACACAAAGCAGGCTTTTTAAAGAACCAGAATTCCTGACCTTTAAAGTCTGAAAATGTACACAACAAATATATTCTTCTCTTCCATTTTGTCCTGAAGCATCCTTTCAGAAATGCTGGTTGTATTAAGCATGTAAAAACCATAAAACACTTGTTTTCCATGAAGTAGTTTCAGAATCAAACCTCATTCCTTTGCAGTGGTTAGGTTATCTGATTTTGCCATCCTTGTGAGAGCAAGTTATTCAAAAATGAGAGCTAAACAATAAATGAGCCAGATCAACAGAGAGCTGCTCTGAAATACAATTCTTCTTATTTCAGAGAGATGCCCTTTGATCTTACAGTGAAGATTGCAGATAAAAAATCTGCTGTTATCACTTTTACTGTCCTCAACTGAATTATTTACTAAAGGCCTCAACACAACTATATGATGGTAAAAGCAAGTTAAAAGCAAAATCCAATGAATTCTGTGTTTTTTAAAGACAAAACATGTCTAGAAAACTATCTTGTGAAAGCCATGTTGTATAGACTGTATTACAAAACAAAATGAGCTACTGTAACATGGGTTGTATTTGTTTTTAATGCAGCCAAGATAAAAATGTCTGACACTCCACAACAGCAAAGAGTTTCACAAGCATTTTCACAATGATCTCTGGTTTTCTCCCTGGTTTGATTGACTACTCTAAATTAGCTGTTTTCATACTTCAGGACTTAGTTTCCAGTACAACCATTACTGGCTATGGAACTATAGTCCATTCAAACAGAACCAAATGAGTCTGACATGGTGACATGATCTCTCTACTTTGAGGCTCGTCAGATGTTCTGATGTAGTGCCTGTTATCCTTTTTGAAAAAGAAACATATTTAAGTTTGTTTGAAGAACACTTAAAATATTTTATACTTAGATACCCTGTCAATCTTTTCAATTTTTAAATAAAAATTGATTTTACAAGTCAAATGTTGACTTGTCATCATTTACTGGGGAGTCAATAATATTCTGCATAAAGCACATCTCACTCTTCACTGCCTGGTACGCTTCACATTCATCTTGGAGGACAAATCCCAGTGAATACACTGGCTTTGAGAAGTACATACTGTACAGCTTGGCTGGAGCAGCTTGTAGAGCACATCGGAGCACCATTCCTTACTGAGAGCGTTGGAAAATGGCTACTCACAGTACGAGAGAACTGCTAGAGGAAGTGAGATGTTCATAAAACAAGAAACAGTGTGATGCTTTCATGGATTTGTTTCCTTTGGTTAATTTGATTTTTAGCTAATTATCTAAATTAATAAATACTAATATTTGTTTTAACTCTTTATACCATTACTGTCATTTTAACCTGAAGGGATCATGTCTCATGAGCATAAATGACTAGGCACCAGTCCTCCTCACAGACAAATCATCTCAAATATACTTTCAGTCATACAGTGTTCTTATTTGCCATAAAATGTTGCAGAGCTCATTTAATGTGAAAAGCAAATCTAACACTGGGAAGGCTAGAATCACAAGGGACGAATAGAAGTCCATACTGTCAAAACAATGAAACGTGATTTTGGTTGATGAAAATACACATGGTGGCCCAGAGGCACGGGGGTCAGCATTACTGTCTCACAGAGCTGGGGCCCTGGGTTCAAGTCTGGACCTCGGTGCTACCAGTTTGGAGTCTGTAAGTTTTCCCCATGTGTGAATGCGTTTCCTCTGGGTGCTCTGGTTTCCTCACAGTCCAAAGTCATGCTGGTGGGTTAAATCAGTTTGTGCTCTGTGATGGACTGATGTCCTGTCCAGGGTGTGTGTCTGTGTGTGTGTGCCCTGTGATGGACTGGTGTCCTATCCAGGGTGTGTGTCTGTGTGTGTGTGCCCTGTGGTGGACTGGTGTCCTGTCCAGGTGTACCCTGCCTTGTACTGTACCTGATGTTTACCAGGATAGGCTCTGACTCCCAGCAACCATGTACTGCTTAAAGCCAGCTCAGCGGGTGTGAGCCTGGTCAATACCTGGATGGGAGACGTCCTGGGAAAAACTAAAGTTGCTGCTGGAAGAGGTGTTAGAAGGGCCAGTAGAGGGTGTCTTCAGATGAGACATAAAACCGAGGTCCTGACTGTGGTCATTAAAAATCCCAAGGAGTTCCTTGAAAATATGGTCATATTTCTCATTGGCCTTTACCAATCATGGCCTCCTAATGACACCTGAAGAAGGCTCCACGGCCATAACATTGTGTTTTCTTTTCTCTTTTTTTCAGCATGGAATAAACCTATTACTTGTTCCTTATGGCCTCCTAATGATCCCCATCTCTGAACTGGCCCCATCACTCTGTTCTCCTCCGCACTGTGTGGAGAACATACTGGCGCACTATGACTACCGTCTCATCATCCAGTTTGGGCTGCACATTGGTGGTGGTGGAGGGGAGTCCCAATTACATGTAAAGCACTTTGAGAGTGGTGTCCAGAAAAGAGCTATTTAAGTGTAAAGAATTATTATTATAAATCAAAGAATAGAGTATAACCCGATTACACTGATATGATCTGGTTCAGAATATGCAAGGCAAAAGCAACCCTACTAATGTAGCCCAGGAATACCAGAGCCTCAAGATGCTCTAACCCATGAATGGAACTGATCTGGCTCTTGGAACTGATAGAATCAGTCGCATGAACAGGGAATGAAGTGGGTCTGTAGCTCATGGCAGGTCCACGCAGTCATGACAGCATGCAGACACACAGAAAGGCAGCCCAATGGGTGCAAGGTCCATCACAGGGCACTCACAGACCCACCCACAGACACTCATGCCAGTTTTCCCAGAAGCCAATTATCCTACCAGTATGTCTTTAGACAGTGGGAGGAAACAGGAGCAGCAGGAGGAAACCACATGAATACGGGAAGAATATAAAAATGTGACGCAGACAGCAGCCCAGGAACAGACCCCAGGACCCCAGCGCCGTGGGCAGTCACGCAAACCATGCACCACTGTGCCGCCGAGCTCCTAACTACTTAAACTAAGCAGTTGCAGAGGAGCTGCTGGCAGAGATGGGTCGCCAGTGAGGAACGCAGTTCACGGGGGCAGTAGAATCGCTGAAAATGACTCCAACCCAATGAAAAGCACCACGTAAACGCAATGACGTTTTTAATTGGGCGATAAAGCTCCTCAGCACTCATTCTGGCAGTGATGCAAGTCGG